GTATGAATCAGATCACATTTATATTGTCAGTAAGTATTGTTTGCCTTTTACAAGTTTGAAAAACATTGGATGCATGGAAGATAAAACAAGCTCCAAGTCAGGATTCACTTTCTAGGACTGTATAAAAGTTGTGCCAAATTGAAGGCACATTCAATCCTATTATCTCCCTAAAGCCCTTCTAAGCCTCCCTCAGGGATTACGGCCCCTGCCCACCTCTCTGCCTTTGTCTCCTCCCACTCTCATTCTCAAACTCCTTGCTTCTCCTCCAACAAACCAAGGCTCCTCCCGTCTCTGACTGGGTCACAGCCGCTTATTGTCGCTGATTGCACCCTCTCTGTTCCCCCAACCCCTCTCCTGGCACCATATTCTCTTTCCCCCTGGAAAACCTCTGCCGTTGTCTGTCTGGCATGTCTTGTCGTCTTTTAAGATCTAAGTGGGATCCATTTTCTGAAGTCCTTCTAAATCCTTAACCAGCCCTCGGTGTTGAGTTGGTGTCTCTCTTACTGTTCCACTGTACTTCATTCTCACTGTCTAATGAGTTCATCTTGCATTTAATTAAGAATCCATTTCTGTGTCTCCTTCACCCATTTGTTTTTTTTTAATTAATTAATTTTTTTATTGAAGGATAATTGCTTTACAGAATTTTGTTGTTTTTTTCAAACCTCAACATGAATCAGCCATGGTTATACATATATCCCCTCCCTTTTGAACATCCCTCCCATCTCCCTACCCATCCCACCCCTCTCGGTTGGTACAGAGTCCCTGTTTGAGTTTCCTGAGCCATAGAGCAAATTCCCGTTGGCTATCTATTTTACATATGGATTTTACATACATATGTATTTACATATATAAGTTTCCATGTTACACTTTCCATACATTTCACCCTCTCATCCCCTCTCCCCATGTCCATAAGTTTATTCTCTATGTCTGTTTCTTCATTGCTGCCCTGTAAATAAATTCTTCAGTACCATTTTTCTAGATTCTGTATATATGTGTTAGAATATGATATTTATCTTTCTCTTTTTGACTTACTTCACTCTGTATAATAGGTTCTAGGTTCATCCACCTCATTAGAACTGACTCAAATTACCCATTTGGTTTTAAGTCCAGCCAGGCTCCTGAGACTAAAGCTCAGAGATGATATCTGACTCACATCTGATTCCCTGGCCTAAGAGGATGCCTGCCCCAAAGTAGATACTCAGTAAATGTTTATTGATTTAGTTTGAATTGAATAGCAATGGTGAAAATAATCCACTTTTCCCCTAGTAGTTCTGCATTTTCTACCTACAAATGGTGAGGGAAATATCAGTGTTCAGTAGTCAAAGGTAGGATGTCACAGAGAAGCAGTAGGAAAGTACGTGGTACAGTTAGAAGAAAGACTTGAGAGGTCAGAGACAGGAAAAGACGTGGGGGAATGCATGTCTCTAGGAGACGGGGGGGAAAGGAAAGAACCTGGGTGAGAGAGACAGGAAATTCTACCGAGTTTTCATAGTAGGAGGGATCTTTGCGAGATCTGAGGGGAATAAAGTATCTGGAGCGAAAAGTGAGTTGAAAGAGGCATTCTGGAAGCAGCAGAGTGGAAAATGAACTCAAGGCCAGCCAAATGTAATCCAAATTGGGAATCAAGATGATGGATGGAACTTCATTAAGATTAAATCATCATCCAACAGGCACAGGCATTTATTAAGCTGCTCCTCTGTGCTTGGCCTTGTGCCAGAACTTTACATCATGGAAGACAAGGATTCTGCCCTCAGGAGCCCCAGCTTCAGTGGTTCATTCTGTTCAAGCAAGGGTGCTTGTTGTAGTGACCCCTGGAACCTTTAAAATTTACAGCCGCACAAGGCTCCGCTGTAGACACAGAGCAAAAATCTTTAGGGAAGGTACTGAGGAATATACGTCTTTTAAAAGACCCTTAGGAGACTCTTGTGAGCATCTCCAAATAGGAACTATAGATGCACAGTGAGATGAAATCACTCAGTCATGTCCGACTCCTTGCAACCCCATGGACTATAGAGTCCATGGAATTCTCTAGGCCAGAATACTAGAGTGGGTAGCCTTTCCCTTCTCCAGGGGATTTTCCCAACCCAGGGATCAAACCCAGGTCTCCCGCATTGCAGGCGGATTCTTTACCAGCTGAGTCACAAGGGAAGCCCACAGATATACAGTAACTGGGGGATTAAAACAAGTAAGCAGGTAACTATAATGTGAGAAGTGCTGATGGATGCAGAGCAGGGAAGGGTATCCTGGAGAGATCCAGGAAGCTACTTGAAGCAGGTGATGCTTGAATTAAGACTTGGAAAATGATTGGTTTGGGAAGAGAATCCAAGCTAATGATAATCATTTTCAGAGTGTTTTGACTGGGAATTAGAGCTAATATTGTAATAACTGATGGAGAGAGAAAGAGAGGGAAGGGAAGAGAGAAGAAGGGAAGGTAGGAGAAGAGAATTAATGAGAAGAGACAAGAATGTCAGGGAAAGGGTCTTGGAGGCGATTTGAACCTTTAGTGTTAAAGAGGCGGTAAAGAAGCCTAAGAGAGAGGTGTCTGCAAGAAGTCAGTTGCTTTACAATGTTGTGTTAGTTTCTACCGCGTAGCAAAGTGAATCAGCTGTGTGCTGTGCTGTGCCCAGGTGTTCAGTCATGTCCGACTCCTTGCAACCCCATGGACTGAAGCCCACCAGGCTTCTCTGTCCCTGGGGATTCTCCAGGCAAGAAGACTGGAGTGGGTTGCCATGCCCTTCTCCAGGGGATCTTCCCAATGTAGGGATTGAACCCAGGTCTCTCGCATTGCAGACAGATTCTTTACTGACTGAGCCACTAGAGAAGCTCAAGAATACTGGAGTGGGTAGCCTATCCCTTCTCCAATGGATCTTCCTGACCCAGGAATCAAACCAGGGTCTCCTGCATTGCAATCACATTCTTTACCAGCTGAGCTACCAGGGAAGCCTGAATCAGCTATATGTATACTTATGTCCACTCTTTCTTGGATTTTCTTCCAATTTAGGTCACCACAGGACATTGAGTAGAGTTTTGAGATTAACAGCCCAGAGTTAGCATCAGCCTCCACAGGTTTAAGGGCTCAGTTCCATAAGACACCTCATTTCAGATGCTGGTTGTCCAGTACTGAGTCCCTAGGTTACCCTCTCTCTGCTCCACTTGTCTACAGAGTAGGGGCAGAGAGCTGTTCTCACAGCTTCCTTCCCTTTTGGGCTTAATCATTTTTTAGAAGGGCTCACAAAACTCTGGAAAATACTTATTTACTCTTGAAAGTAAACTGAAAGTGTTAGTTGCTCAGTTGTGTCCTATTCTCTGCTACTCCTTGGATTATAGCTTGCCAGACTCTTCTGTTCTTGGGGATTCTCCAGGCCAGAATACTGGAGTGAATTTCTATTCAAGGGGATCTTCCCAACCCAGAGACTGAACCTGGGTCTCCTGCATTGCAGCTGGGATTCTCTGATAAACTGTCTGAGCCGTTTATTATAAGGGATACAAATGAACAACCAGATAAAGAGGCACAGAGAAAAAGTTCCAGAAGGGTCCCCAAACACAGGAGCTTCTGTCACAATAGAGTGGGGACACCATAATCCCAACACCTCAATGTGTCCTCCTGTTCCAAAGTTTTCTGAACCCTGTCATTAGTCATTTAGGGATTTGTATGGAAATGTCCCTAGGTAGGCATGGTTGATTAAATCATTGACTGAAAGTGATAAGCTCAACATCCAGTCCCTGTCTGCATCCCTAGCAAAAAGTGCTGAAAGTTCCAAGCCTTTAATCATGCTTTGGTCTTTCTGGTGAGCAGTCCCCATTCTGAAGCTGCCTGGGGACCCCAACCACCAGCCCTATTGACATACAAACACTCTGGAGATTTCCAGGTGTTCTAGGAGCTGTGTGCCATGAACTGAAGACAAAGATAGCTACAGATGGAGTTTGGATGGTTATTACTGTTCTTCAAGAGGGTTCTTCTAAATTCCTACATGTGTCAACATCCCTCCTCCTGAGAATGAGGGGTGACCCCATTGATTGTCATTGGAAGTAACTCAGATGGAAGAGTCTGCATGTCATAAACTTCCAGAATGCTGGCAGTATATTTTTTCTGACAAATCTATTCATGAATTTTTGATAAGTCTCAGAATACTGTCAAAATCATTTTAGCTCCAACTGAACAAGGAGAGTAAATTGCTGTGATTTTGGTTACAACATCATTTCCATATTCTCTGACCAGCCAGCCAGCTATTTCCCTCTCCCCAGTCACACGTCTAATTTTTCTCTGTTGGGCTCTACCCATCTCTTGCTCTAACTAGTTTCAAATTGATTAATTCAACACGTGATAACTAGATTAAAGTATGTCACACATTTCCAATATCCTTGGCAGATTTTTTTCCTGTATGAGTTGTTGGTGGTGGTGTTTAGTCACTAAGTCGTGTCAGACTCTTTGTGACCTCATGGACTGTAGCCCACCAGGCTCCTCTGTCCATGAGATTTCCCAGGCAAGCATGCTGGAATGAGTTGCCATTTCCTACTCCAGAGAATCTTCCAACACAGGGATCGAAGCTGCATCTCCTGTATGTGTAATTCTGTATATCTGAATATCAAGGTAGTTGCAACAATGATTCCTATTCATTGCAGCTCAACAACTGGAAGAACTGTTTGGAGTTAACTTTTCATACCATTCTCAGTATCTAGATAGCCTGTAGATTTACATGTAGCTTTACTAATGTGTAGTCTTTCCTATCTGGGAATAAAACTTTCTCATTTTCTTTCATTTTGAAGTTCACTGGCTTAGCAGGTGGATGTATCATGTTGTTTTTCCAGGTGCAGGTGATTCCCAGAGTGTCTGGGAGTGCTGGGTGCTTGTTCTTCTTCTGTTAGGTGGCAGATGTGCACCTGTGTTGTGGGGAGACCTGTGTCATGAGTGACATGAGCCTGCGGAAATGGCATGGGGCTGAGGGTGAATTAACCTGGCTGTTTCCTCACATCTCACCTTCATCTCCTCTCTTTTGTAGCCACCCAGTGTAAGCATGGGGCCGTGTATGATACCTGTGGCCCAGGATGTGCCAAGACCTGTGACAACTGGAATGAGATCGGCCCCTGCAATAAGCCATGCGTTGCTGGGTGTCACTGCCCAGCAAATTTGGTCCTTCACAAAGGAAGGTGCATCAAGCCAGTCCTCTGTCCTCAGCGGTGACCTTTGTTCTACTCCTTCAGACTTTGAACCTAGTGTCCTTGACACTGAAGTGGAAGAGCCAATGAAAGACTGCAGTATTTGTGTGCTGACTCCGCAAACACACACACAGAGTATATATGTGTACATATATAGATATATAGATATATTCAGAAGCATTTCATCATTTATATAAACTATAGGTGGATTATTATATGTATATTTTTTGCTATAAGACATGTATTGTTTCTAGGATCCTAATCTGTAAGCCATTGAAGACATTGTATAAATAAATCAAGTGTTTTTAATTTAATAAGGCAGCATGCAGACATATTGGAGGCTTAACCATCACACACATTTGTCATTTTTAAGGAAACTTGTCTAAGAGATCAAAATTGCCTGCCTGAATTAATTTTTTCTTTGGATCAGGATTTGCTGTTGAATGGGGAGTGTGTTTTTTCTGGAGAAGGGCAAATTTATTTTGGGGTATTTCTGCTTCCAGAGAAAGGAAAGTATGCCTGAGAGAGATGGCTAGTGATTGGTGACAGGCTCTAATGGTGCATGTAAGCAAGGGATAGGCTGTTAGACTTTATTGGGTAATGGTCTGATATTATTTCCAAAACTGATTGGCTGGTTACCAAGAAATGTATATCGTCACTAAAGCATAACCGAAGAAGCAAATGATTTCTTGCCCTCTTACCATATTCCCCCAGTCTCCTAATTATATACGTGTGTATGATGGATGTGGCCACCTCTGTGTCCCACACTGAGATGATGGAGTGTCTGGATGTCTTGTTAGTTTAACTGAGCATGAGCAGATATTTGAAGAAACTGTTGCACAACATATGAGAAAATATCCGTTTCTCTGAATCTCACAGCAGTTTAGGATGAACAAATCCAATTGAGTCAAAGAAAGCTATCTATATTTTGTACTATTCCATGTATAAAGTGAAAGCCTTTATTTGTAGAAGACTCCTAGTGCAACACTATTTGCAACAGGGAATCTGTCCTAATTATTAGACAGAAAGAAAGGCTTTACCGATCAGTTGATTTAACATCAATCCAAACAAAGAATGGTCTACATGCTTGCTCTCATTTCCTGATAGGTTACTACTAGTCACCATGTGATTTTCCTGACTTTTGTTTTCAGCTGAATAAGTGAGAATGTAACAAAATAAAACCCACTGATGTCTAAAAATAAAATGTTCTGTGTTGTAGTAAATAAAGGGCTTAAGTTTTACAACAATGCATTTTCTATTTCAAATGTGTATGTTATACTTTATAAATGGCAACATCAGTTCATCCATTTTCAGTCAGTTCAAGTTCAGTCGCTCAGTCGTGTCTGACTCTCTATAACCCCATGAATCGCAGCACGCCAGGCCTCCCTGTCCATCACCAACTCCTGGAGTCTATTCAAACTCACGTCCATCGAGTCGGTGATGCCATCCAGCCATCTCATCCTCAGTCGTCCCCTTCTCCTCCTGCCCCCAATCCCTCTCAGCATCAGGATCTTTTCCAATGAGTCAGCTCTTCGCATCAAGTGGCCAAAATATTGGAGTTTCAGTTTCAGCATCAGTCCTTCCAATGAACACCCAGGACTGATCTCCTTTAGGATGGACTGGCTGGATCTCCTTGCACTCCAAGGGACTCTCAAGAGTCTTCTCCAACACCACAGTTCAAAAGCATAAATTCTTCGACCCTCAGCTTTCTTCACAGTCCAACTCTCACATCCACACATGACCACTGGAAAAACCATAGCCTTGACTAGACGGACCTTTGCTGGCAAAGTAATGTCTCTGCTTTTTAACATGCTATATAAGTTGGTCATAACTTTCCTTCCAAGGAGTAAGGGTCTTAATTTCATGGCTGCAGTCACCATCTGCAGTGATTTTGGAGCCCCCCCAAAAATAAAGTCTGACACCACTTCCACTTCCCCATCTATTTCCCATGAAGTGATGGGACCAGATGCCATGATCTTAGTTTTCTGAATGTTGAGCTTTAAGCCAATGTTTTCACTCTCCTCTTTCACTTTCATCAAAAGGCTTTTTAGTTCCCTTTCACTTTCTGCCATAAGGGTGGTGTCATCTGCAAATCTGAGGTTATTGATATTTCTCCCAGCAATCTTGATTGCAGCTTGTGCTTCTTCCAGCCCAGCGTTTCTCATGATGTACTCTTCATAGAAGTTAAATAAGCAGGGTGACAATATACAGCCTTGACGAACTCCTTTTCCTATTTGGAACCAGTCTGTTGTTCCATGTCCAGTTCTAACTGTTGCTTCCTGACCTGCATATAGGTTTCTCAGGAGGCAGGTCAGGTGGTCTGGTATTCCATTTTAGCAGCTTTATTTAGATATATTTTATATACCATGCAATAACATTTTTATAAAGAGTATTATTAGTAGTAGTATTAGTGGTTGACAGCAAACCTCCAAAGTTTTCAGTCAGCATATTGCCATTACGTGTTAAGACATTTGTGTTCCTGTTTCATATATTCATGACAGCTAAAGGATTAGTTTGGATTTTTTACTGGGGCATCTCCATCTGCTTGAGTAAACTGAGTAAGTTACACAGTCTTAACAGTGACTGGCTGGGACATCAGGGAACATGGTTGTCATCGTTGTGCTTGGGTCGTGACCATCCTCAGTATCCGGGACCCAAGGAACCAGTGCTTCAGGGCTGCACTTGGAAAAGGGGATTTGATGTAAGAGAATTGGGCTCCAGGTGTGGTTTGTAATCTTGTCCACATTGTTTAAGATCTTGGGCCTTATTTTTGCTTCTCTGAAACATAAAGAGGCTTGGTAGCATATGGGCAGATTTGAGGGCCAGGAGGCCTAGACACTCACTCCACTACTAGTGAGATAACATTAATAGAAGTCAGAGACATGTTTTCCAAACCGTTTTACACTCATAATCTCATTTACTTCTCTCACTGTTCTCAAAGGAGGGGCAGGGCATATCAGTTGCTCTCTTCTGGTTGGCTTCTTTTTTATTCATTTATTCATTCATTTATAATACATTTAAATTCATTTCCAGTTCACTCTGGGTTTTTCTCTGTAAAAGAGGGATGCAGAAGGGAAAATTGTAGGTCATTTATTCACTGCTCATGATTCATCCAAGGACTGAGTACTTCTACCCAATAAGACTAAATAGCCTCTTTCCCAACACTTTTAATCATGGCTATCCATTATTAAAATGATGAAGGCTCTTCTTCATGGACTGCTTCCATCCATTTGGGGAGTTCAATTATAAGGTTGTGTTACATACCTTATTGAAGGTTTAGTTTAATTTTTATACATTTTTTTTATTCTTGAAGAAGAGGGTTATTACTGATGCCAACTAATCCAAACACGTTGAGAATTATCAATCCTTCAGGTGAAAAGTGAAAGTCCCTCAGTTGTGTCCGACTCTTTGCAATCCCATGGATTATAGCCTGCCATGCTTCTCTCTCCATGGAATTCTCTAGGCAAGAATACTGGAGTGGGTAGCCATTCCCTTCTTGGGATCTTCCCAAGCCAGGAATTGAACCAAGGTCTCCCACATTGCAGGTGGATTCTTTACCGTCTAAGACATGAGGGAAAAGCCACCCCTTTAAACTCACTGTTTCCTGAACACCTGAGTGCAATAAGAAGAACAAATCTGACTACATATTGGATCCACTTCATATTCTATTGCTTTTGCATTAAGAATGTTGCCTGTAGACTGAAATATATGGATACCCCATTCTCAAGGCTCCGACTTTTACATGTATAACTCGTCTCCATTCATAGAGAGATAAAGTTGCAGAACAGAGAATAGCATTTGTCTTGGTGGTGGTTTACAGGAACATTGTGGCCTGACCTATTTGACAATGGCAAAAAAAAAAAAAAAAAAGGATTCTGACATCAATAAGTTTGCAACAACTAGTCACACCCCCTCCCTTTGCTATATATAAAAGAAGTCTGATTCCTAACTCAGGTTAGATGGTTCTTTGGGCCATTAGTCCACTATCTTCTCAGTCTGCGGGATTTCTTTATAAAGTTGCTATTTCTTGCCCCAACAATTCATCTCTAGATTTATTGCCTGTCATGCAGTGAGCGGTACAAGCTAAGACTCAATAACATACCACTAGCCTGTGAAAGGGCACCTCCCCTCAAAATGAGAAGGACCAGTGACTGACTCTTCCCCACCTTTTGCTGAACATGAAGAAAGCATTTGACTGGAAAGCTCTTTCTTTCTATGAAGTGTTTCAGACACACAAGAAGGAATAGAGTGTAATGTGATAAATGCCCATGAATATATTACCCTAATTAAGAAAAGTGACCTCGTAGTTTACCAATACATTTTTCTTGCATAGATAAAATCAAATGGTCTCATGGTTGCAGTAGCTATGTGTGGAGTTTTTCCTTGCTGAGTTTCTGTTCACTTTGCTGTTCTTCGTTGCTCAAATTCACCTGGATCTGACAAGTTTCAAGAAAGTGAGTCTGAATACTCCTGATGTGGGAGAAAGAGATCCCTTAGGGGAGAGGCACCAAGATATTTTAATTAGCTACCTCCTGCAAACATAACCCTCAATAGCAAGCAAAAACCGTCTCCTATTCTAAATCCTGAAGTACAAATGGTTTAAGAACTCAGGGTTTTAATTTTGAAAAGTGACAAAGTTCAAGCGGCCAAGAAAGAATTATCAGGGAAAAGAAACAAATGTTGGTGATTATGTTGACCCTGAATTAAGAACCCAGACATTTAGTCCTTTAAGGGGAGATTTGGGGCTTTAGAACTATATTGCTACATGGGTTTAATTAGACCAATGAGATCTGTCTTTACCATGTTTCCTTTCAGATAAATTTTGAGCAAACCAGCTTTGAAAACATTGTGAGGAATCTGCATGTAGAGATGCACCTGAATTAAAGGATAATTCAGAGTGTGACTGGCTAAGGAAAGGGGGAAGTGTATTCCAGGTAGAGGGAAAGCAAAGCACCGAGGCAGCCAGCGAGTCTGTACCTGTGGCTGAACCACATGTAGTATGGCCTGAGGCGAAGGGTAAGACACATGTGCGCAGGGCCCCATGGTCATGCTAAGAAGCTTGAGTTTATCTTTATGGCAGAGCCTCTGCAAGTGTATCACGTCATAGCGTATTCAGAAAATAACCTTTGGGTACTAAAGTAAATGGGCTTCCCTGGTGGCTCAGGGGGTAAAGAATCTACTTTAAATGCATTAGAAGCAGGAGATTCAGGTTTGCAGACCCCTAGGTCAGGAGGATCCCCTGAAGGAGGGCATAGCAACCCACTCTAGTATTCTTGCCCGGAGCATCCCACAGACAGAGGAGCCTCCAAGTGAGAGATGATGAGCTCCCAAACTAGGAGGCAGGAGGAAACAAGGGGACAATTTCGTGAAGGTTGGGTGGCCAATAGGCAAGTGATGGGGGATGGCAGTGCTAGGCTGCCACATAAGGAACGTGAGCTGGAGAGCAGATTTACAGATATTTCTATTTTAAATCAAAATCTAGGCTGTGTTCAGTTCAGTTCAACAAACATTCTGAGCACTGCCATTAAGAAAGAGTCCAAGATGAATGACGGGTAGTAAACCAGAGGGGCACAAGCTGATCATGAGAGCCTCAGGAAGCCCAATTTGGGGTTTTCTTTTTGGGGGAAGTGTCTAGAAAACTTGCCTGAGAAAATGAGTCCTGTGATGAGCCTTACTAGGCTGAATACCCTCTATGTCTGCAAAGAAGTGTGTGGGTCTGTGTGTGGGTGTCTGTGTGTGTGTGTGTAGGTCTGTGTCTAGTGTGTGTCTGTGTTTATGTCTATGTCTGTGTGTGTGTATATCAGCAGGGATAGTGCAATCTGGGAACTTAAGGCACGAATGACTTGTGGATGAGGAGAAAGACAAGCAAGCAGTCTGGAGTGCAATGAACAACAGGGCTTAAGTCCCAAGGGGATGTGTCAGATTTACAGAACTGTTTTAAGTCATGGCAATACAATTCACACACCTGAGAGGTCTTATCAAACTTCCCTTGATATCTAGTGGAGGGAGCACAAGTAGGGTTTGAGGATATTTTATCATCTTGTTATAAGCTCATTTTGCTTCCTGTACCTGGTATTTTCAAGTTTCCTTGATGTGTCTTCTGAAAATCTAGAGAGCGAAGAGTGAAGAGAGGCTTCTAATGAGACCGTCCTATCTGTACAGTGAGTACCCATCTTTCAGACCCTCTAGGCACTGGGTTCTTTAACAGAACTGGTCCAAGTTCTGGTTATTTATTTCACTGCCGCTT